GTTGACATTAAGACGTTATTTATACATCATTGACATCACTCTGTTATTTAGGATAATACTAATAATACTATATAATATTATCGACATACAGTAATAAATACTAATTTTTATTTGACTGTTTAGAGAAGTCTCGATAATAAATCTGAAATGTGTACCTATATGTACAGAGATTATAAAAGATTTGATTGAGTAGTAAGTGTAATAATTTAGTGAGAGAGAACACGGTCTACTTTAACAGCATCATCTTTAATACCCCTTAAATCAAAAAGCTTACAATTTAACAATTGTAACTTGAAAGCTTAGTCTAGCAATTAATAATTAGGTAAGAATTAAGGTAATGGGTTTTTCCGAGTGATCATAAACTCTTCGCGGTCGTGATACGGCTCGTACGGATCGTCAATGTAATAATGCCGTCTGCGCCAATACTTGGACGTCATCTTGTCCAGTAGCGTCGACTGCGTGGCATTGCAGAACACGTGTCGGCGCAGTCTCTTCTTCCTGGCGGTCGTCTTCGTCCACAACTTGTTATGTCGACCCGACCTCGTTCTGATCCAGATACCCCTGCAACATTTCGTTTGTCGCTCGAGAATCTTGGCTTCTACGATACAAGATCTTTCAAGATTATTATAATGCGCTTGATGTATCCTTGATGTATCCAGATATTACCAGTGCAAACGGTAGAAACGGTCTATAACCGTCTTCACAGTCTTCCGCTTTCCCGACGTTAGAGAGAACTTGATTAACGTTCTCACTGGCACGTTAGTAACAGGTTCGGCTGGCAAAGCCAGACGATTTTCCGTCCCTGCATGGCTGAAAGAATAACATTTACATTACTTTTACACAACAATTTGCATCTTATTATTTATCTCGCTCACATAGAAATCAATATGTTCTACAAAATTACTTCTGCAATATTCTACTTTAATTACTTTAGTAATGTTTTATGTTGCACAGGTCCGACAGTTGCCCATTTCTGAACAGCGATTGATAGCGCTCCGAACTCTCTATGCTGTACAGACTTCAAAACGGGATTGCATCTTGAAGCAACGCAATTTACTACACTTTTACTGCTCGTCGCTCTCGCTGCAACTCCTGAAAGAACACGTACAGTACGTATACTTGCAAGATAAAAAATAACAAACAAGTAATAAGTAAAACTGAGTCGTTATGTAATCGATTAGAGAGAAACACCTAAACATTTACGGTCCGGACTGGTATTTTATATACTTTTTCCAAACTTAGTGAACTGTGTGCCGATTTTATGTGGGTCTTTAAAAATTACAAACTCGGGGAAGAATGTCTTACATCCGAAATATATGCGATCACGTATTATTTATTTATGTGAGTATCTCGAGCACGTACAACCGCGTAGAACGTTGGACTTTATGGATTGCTCTTTACACTCGATTTCTCGAATTAAAACATACAGAGTATTCAGGAGTCTCATCTACACCGGATTTAATTAGGAAAAAATGAACCGAACATGATCTCGCGGATAGAAAATTCACAATCGAGAAAATTTCACGAGACGGAGAACTCCAAGTGCACGTTCAAGCGCGCGCGCGCTCGCTCGCCCACGTTCTAATTCCGTGGCGTTCCCTCCGCCAGCGGCGTGTCATGGCGCTCGCGGAACAGCGAACCTAACCTCCCGACGTCGCGCGGCACTCCGTCGTTCGCGACGCGACGTGACGCGAGATCGGCCCCGGTGTATCATGGTGCGACGCGGAGCTGACGCGTGACAGGACCTCGCAACGCGGTCGCCGATCGTGGGATCGGCCGTGGGGCACGCGTACACCCACCTCGCAGCGCCGCGCTCACGGCACGCAGCATTCTTCTTTTCGCGCAGTTCCACCCGATTCCGGTGTGTCGTGTGTCGCCCAGCCAGCTGTTTTCCTCCCCCTTCCGTGCCGCAGCCGCCGCAGGCCGCAGTTTCGTTTTTCATTCCCCTTTTCCCGCAGTCCCGCTGGCTGCCCGACCGGCTGCTCGAAGGATGTTCCGAATTGGATTAAAATTTCCGTGCAACGGTCTGAATCGGGTACGTAGCCGCGTGCGAGAAGTTCGCGGGTGGGCGCCGTGCGATCGTCCGGGAAAGATCGCTCGCGTCGAAATACCGCGTGGAGCGACCGCGCGATGACACGATCGCGTACCGTGACGTCGTGTCCTCGCGACAGTGTCGCGCGACGATACCGCGCCGACCGACTCCACGCGCCGTCGGCGCATCACCGGCGATCAACGACGAGCGTCGTGGGGTCGGACGAGCCGTGAATGCCGTGATGACGGCGACGGAGGATCCCCGCGGGGTCTCCGACGTGAACGTCCGTCCGTCGCGAGCGACGTTTCCCGGCCCGCGCGCGCGTGACAAAGATGGCATGTTTTCAAGAGGGCTTACATAACTCCAGAAGTTCTGATCTCAACGTGGTTTAATCCTTTCAGGTAAAAAAACACGGCTCCAGACTACATCTGACTGCCAGGTACTACGAGTCGCGGGCGCGCATCAAGTACGAGCCAGATGGAAGGTGAGTCCTTCGGCCAAAGTCCATCCGGGTCTCGACAGGTCTTATTGCTTGTCAGACGCTTGTCGTTATCCTGCGGAGATCGTCCTCGCGCCTCGTCAATTCCGGAACACGGTTGACATTGTGTTTTCAAACTGTTCATGTGTGATTTCGTGCGGTGAAATCGTAACGCGGTGAGGTTATGTCCGATCATGTGTTTTCCTAAGTCCTAAAATAAGAATGAGTAATTTTATGAATGACATCTGCTACATTCATGATTTTACCACTACTGTATCTGAATTCTGTTGAGTAATCATTGATCATGAGAGTTGTTAAGCGTTCGACAAGTAATATAACTTTACTTAATCTTTTGATGTTATGTGCGTCTTGTATCTGTATGTGTAAAGAAATATAGTTTTGTATTTTTTTTTTTCAGGCTATGCAGGGATGTCAGACTTATCTCCAGGTTTACTGGACTTAAGTATTCGACCGCACCGTCAAAAAGGTACACACAGAACATGAATCTTAAGAATATTTGGCACGTTGTTTATTAATGCATGCTCTTAATTTTTTTGTGAGACTTTGTACACGCTGTACTGTATCACGAAAGAAGGAAAAAGAAAGTCAATTGTTTTATATAGATTTATTTTAATTGCTTGCGTTTTTCAAAACAGCGAGAAAAGTCGGGGATCGGGGGCGCTGTTAACTCTAGGAGCTGTAACGATAGGTACCTTAGGAATACTAACGTATGCGAAACGAGATCCAGAGTTTCGAGCTACTCTCGAAGGATGGATTCCTGGCACAGACAAAGCTATCCGAATTATCTTTCAAGAAGACTCCAGCTACTTTGACTTTGTGCTTACGTTCGTCGAAACGTTGAAGCAGACGTAAGAAAATAAGAATTATGTATAAAATTAATAGTTAATTATTGATGTCACTGAATGAATGTTTTTTTTTACAGGATATTAGGCCTGTTCATCAAGGAGGCATCAATACCAGAACCAGGTCAGACAAGAATACAGTGCGCAAAAGTTGTAGAATATATACGTGAGTCCCAATCCATGCCTAATTCCTTAATTCCTTACTCATGCCTTCTTTCTCATACCTTTTCCTTTGTGATCTTGTTCCTTTCTTCGACACTTTTTAGAATTACATAGATTACATATTACATACTTAATTAGTAATGCTCCCACTAACATTTAACAATTGCATGTGTGTACTGTAGCGCCCAAGCCAGCTTTTAAACCATTGGTCGAGCAGAAAGAAGCGCCTATTAACAAGAGTCATACCGAAATTCGTGTTAGTAAAGACAAGGGTGAAAAAGTAGATGTTGGTACGTTTACATTATTTCTTGGAATCATTTTACACGAAATCTATGTGGAAGATAATTAAATAGTTCATATTTTTATAGTTGAAAAGCCAAAGTCGCCACCTAAAACTATACGCGATGAATTGATGCCGCAAAATCTTGTCGAGTTAGAAACATACTGTGGCGAAGCTGCCGCTAAAGCTATTGCGGCCTACCACAAGGCAGTGTGCGCGCTTCAGGAATACAATCAGGATGTTGTCAAAGTAGTTGAAAGTGCTGGCACTACGATAAGCGGAGTCGTTTGGCAAAGGTGATTGCCGTTATGCTTACGTAATCATTTCACACTTCACTTGTATATCGATTATGTAATCAGATTTGTCACGTTCGCAGGTTAAAGGATGCGACGGAAAAGAGAAAACAGACCATACAACAGGCGGAGGAGCACGCAAAAGATGCGTTAGATTCTCTTAAACGCATGTACAATCTAATTGATGAACCTGTGCTTGAAGCGGCCGCTCACATTAAAACGGCCGCAAGGCGGAATATTAGAAAAATTATGGACGACGTGGATGAAGCCAAGAAAAAATATACCGAGGAGCTACAGAGTGGTAGCGTTGCGGAGCGTTACTGGAAGCAGGTTCAGACAGCGCGAGAGAACTTTAACGAAGAATTGCAAATACTGTTTCCCAATATAAATATTCATGATAAGAAGTTGTCTGTGAGCGAAGAAGCCTTCGATTTATTCGTTCTGCATATGTATCACAAAGTCAACAATTTGCAAAAGGAGCTGGAGAAATTAAGAGTGAGTTGTTAGCATTATTTATTTTAACGTCAACCTCGTAGCCTCGAAATTTATATTTCTGAAACGCTTTCGTGCTAAAACAACGTGATTTTCGCATAAAATAATATTGCGTCGATAATATCGTTACTATCTTCAGAGAAAAATTGTTCAATTACAGACAGTTAACGAAGCTAAAGTGAAAGCGGCATTGAGAACGACGGGTGAAGATGCAACTCAAGAAAAGTTGGACGCGCTAATAAGCCTCGCGGTTAACCAAGAAAGGCTTGAGCTTGAAGATAACCACGCGAAAAAGGTAGGAAATATTTTTATTATATTTTTAATTTAAAACATGGATCGCGAGCACAGATCTTTATTTACAGCAAAATTAATTCTGAGAATAATAGAATTTTAGATTTATTAATCGTCATTTGCGAACGTAACGTGACGTGTTATCTCGTTGTATGCTGTCGAGCTTATGCCTCTTCGTTCGTACATTCTGCTGTGGAGAAACTAATTCTATAATTCTATGGTGTGCATATGTGACAAGAGAATATATTCAAGTATGATTCAGATGGCTTCAAAGCGCCTTGTTTGGCGTGCGAATAGCGCACCGGCCGATGTTGCATGCTTTTACACGCGCCATCCCTGTTCTCTTAGTGTACAAATACAGATAAATGCGAGCTTTAGCGCCGTTATTAATGTTGCCGTAGCGTTCAGAGACTTTGTACAGCCACGCGTTCACGTATAAAATCTAGCTCTGTTGCGGATATAGCCGCGCGAATTAAAGAGGGATGGTTATAAAATGATTCTCTCATTAAATCGTTCCGCGATAACAATCGTGTGAAACGCGAAAAATTTCTGAGATTTCTAAGGAAATGTTTTTCACGGTGAAAGGAAAAAATGATGGGGGAAGATGGAGGGAGGTAGTTAAAAACCGAGCGGTGGAAATGATGGTGCTTAATAATGCTTGTAAAACGAACGAATAGAGAGATAAAGCGGTGATAAAGCGGGCCTTCATTAAAGAGTGTCGGAAAATAACGGAATAAGAAAGTAACAACGGGTCACTTGAATCATAGCCGCTTAACATCACGTTTTACTACTTTTCAAGATTTCTCAAGTTGAATGGCTTCGCGCATAAGGTAATATCCGAACGTTGTTTCGTAAAGTTACATTTTAGAAGATTCTACCAGTGATGCGTTTTTTTTCGGCTTTAATAATTCTTTATCAAATGTCTTTCCTCCCGCGTTTAGTAAGAACGTGCCAACTTTGTGAGTCAAATCGAGACCGGATCGCTTTCCACGCGGTTGTATTCAGATCGGGGCACAGGTGCATCGGTATTTTGTTCGAATATGACGAATTTAAATCGGTGCAGGCATCGATGTGTAACGCCACATACGCGATATGTCCGAGCGTGTCGCGTCAGAGGATTGCTCCAGCAACGCCAGTCCTCCTTGGTTCTTTTATTTATTTCCATTTGGCCGGGCGCCAATATTTCGACAGCAACGGGCGATATTATTCCCTTGGAGTATATACGACGTTTGTGTGCCATAGCCATACGTATGCTGACCGGAGAGGTATCTGCTGAGGAACCATTGTGACTCATTGTCCTCATAGTTGTCCGACAGCTCTTTTCCGGGGACTCTCTTCTTTTATATCCCCGGTCTCTGTCTCCCGGAGCCGCACCGCCGAATATAAATCTTGTCGAATCGATCGGCGCGGCGGACTCGCACGACCTTTTGTTCTCGTTTCGAACGGGAACAGCGGTGTCCTCTAATTGCTATTTGTCTACGAGCTTCCGGTACTGCTCGTTAACGTCCGGTCGAATATTTTACCGTTAATGCGTCACGGACGGGCCGGGCGTATCGCTGACCGATATCCCTGCGTCATCCAATAAATTACATATATATGAGAAAGACAGCGGAATTAATTAAACGGTAATCATTGCATAAGTTGCCGCTAACAAACGATCGTTCGTCCCGCGACAGTTGATGCGAGCTGTCGGGGCAAATGCGACGAAAGTGTGTCATGTTATCGTCGTCGTCGCGAACTTTACGGTGCGTTTGCGTTGCTGCTCGTCGCGCAAAGAAGGATCTTCTCTCGCGTCATTTAATTAACACGTAGTTTCGCCTCGGAAAAACAACTCGTCGTCGTCTTCGTCAACGCGAGCGACTCCGAATGTTTTTGTCCTAACGCGTTGCAACGTTGCGAAAGCAGAGGTAAAGTCACGCTATACAAATTGGCCAAACGAAACGGTCATCGGAAAGGCCATGGGTCAAATTTTTTTGAACGAGTTAGAGGAATTAATTAGTTTTTTTTTTCATGTATATATCCGATGTGTTTATATATATATATATATATATATACATATCGTACATGAATGTAAAATATAAAACAGCCGAAACGACCACCGTTTATCAAATGTTTCATTTTTGTTTATACTCACAACAAATAAGTAAAGTTTTCCGTGAAGCCCAAGGGATACGTCCCAAGATCGTAGGGAGAGCTTGAAAAATTCATAGTTCCTTATCTGCTTTCACGGTTTGGGATTTCAGTCCAAGGCCCGGTCACGGAATATCTTGATGGCGGTACACCTAAAAGTTATTTACCGCGACGGACGTGAATTATCGATGAAACTTTTTGTCACGATTTGTTTTGTCTCGCGCACGGGCGAAGCTTACCATCGTCTGGGAAACAAAATGCGAGCAGTGAAACTCGTTCGAACCATTTTCCGTACAGTTTTCGCAGCGCATCGCCGCGCGATACTCGTCAAAGTATCACCGATAATTTTAGCGCTTTTGCGCGAACAAATTAAAATTTACGATATTTAATAGAAATTCTTACAGAAGCTAATAAATTCCACAATAATAAGCAACAGTCCGTGAAAATCCCACGCTCTTTTCCGCATTGAGCTTATATTTTAATTTCTAGAAAAAAAAAATATATATATTAATTTAAACTACAGAGAAGTCTGTTTTAGCAATGTTAATTAGTTCCTTTCATTTTAATTCGAATATTCTCTTTCTGTCTTTAATGTGCATGCACACGTTTATATCTGCGGGTAAGTCGTTTAGCCGCACTTTTCGGGCGCAAAGTGATGCACTCGTTCTTCGGAAACGATCTTTAGCGCACGTGCGCGACGTGGCGCCGATCGTATATCCGCTTTTACGACGGAAGCGCTCGCCGGTAGGAAAAATATTGCTAGACGTGTATAGGACGACTAACCAACCGCGCGAAAGAGCGAGAGTTTAAGCGTTCTTTCCTGTCTTTGTAAGTCGAAAAATTCCCACATTAACGCCATTGCGGTCGTACGTGCTGTACCGATCACGGCATCTTCCCTGAATGTTTTTCTTCCCGATCCGGAGATCAATTTCCTTTTTCGCTCGCGCCTTTTCCCATGAATCTCAGATACCTGTCTTATTCTGCAGACCAAGATTCTGGAATAATTTAAAGACGACGTTATCGGTATTCTGAATTTTCATTGAGTCTTCAATTGAATAATATGTATAGTGTCTAGAGACGTTCATTCTTTACGTCAATGACGAATTCTTCGAGAATTTTTACTTAAGGAAGATGTTGCTGTAAGGTTTCATCTGTTGGAAATTTTCAATTCAGCGTAAAATCATGGTTATCAAATCACGAATTGAAATGAAGAAGAAGTAAAGTTCGATTGAATATGAACAATAAGATTATTCTTTCTTCGTTTAATTGCAGCTCAGAAGTTTAACGAAAAGCCTTTCATTTCCGACAGGAAACTATCGATTGGGAAACTATTTCACTTTTAAAATTGTTGGTTGACATTTGACATTTTATTTGAAGTCGAATGGGGAGACTAACTCACGTTGCAAAACAGGAAGAATATTTTCATTGGAGTCGGAAAGGCTGACAGAATCATTGTCGTAAAGTCTAATGTATTTCGTAACTGGGGAATACGCGTGAGATAATAAATACATTTCGCGCGAGCCTTTTCTCGTATGTATTACTTGCCATCAACGCAAAACAAAGATATGGAAGATATGTGATGAGGATGAACTATTCACCAGTTTAGAGGATTTTTATAGACAAATAAAATTCTTTCGCTTCACCAGAGTTACATTGAGATTTACGATACGCGTAACTCCTGAAAATTCTTTATTACGGTCGTTTTACTCTTAAGAACGAAGAAGAAGAAATCAATCTCGATTTCATATTAAATAAGGGAAAAAAGGAGCGTTGCTGGTTTTTTTTCCCAATCATCAAGTGGGACGCCATCGCACGCGGGCGCGAATTGCGAGGCTCTCTGTCCGCGATATCTAGAAAGAGCTTTTTCCATCCGCAAACTTTCGATCGGTCGGCAAAGTCGGCGAGGCGCGACCCGCTCGAGTTAATAGCCCCAAATCCGTTTTCCTTTCTTTCGGGGAGGATCTCGCCCGTCGCATCCGTCGCCCGATCCCCAGGTAGATTGCCGTACAAATCGTCGTCATTAAATTAGTTACGCGCCCAGGAAAAACCGCCGCGATTTCGTTCGCTCGAATCCGTCTTCGTGAGAGATAAACGCGAGAACCGAGCGGAATTCGTTATCGTCAGCATTCGAGAACGAGGGGGGGAAAAAAGAGAAAGATAAACGTAATACACAGAGGGGTACGAGATATATAACTGCATTGTCCAACCGTAATGAAAGGACCTCTTTGCAATTTAAATCACAAGAGAAATGTGCGAATATTGTTATCATTTTCCCTTGACGGGACGCTCGATTAAGTAGTACATGTATTAATAACAACACCTATAACAATCTTTCCGTTCTTTCCGATTCTTAATCTGAACAGAGAAAAATGTCAGAATAATTAGTAGAACGATAATTGCGACAAAGTAAACACTGTAATCCCATAATCGACGATAGACGGAGCAGAAACATCTGTCGCAGTATTTTGCAAGCGGAACAATTTTCGCATGACTTCGCGTGAATATAAACGGCTCGTGTTTTTCCTCTACCGTATTTAATTAATCCGGCTTGGCGCAATTGCGGCATGCGACCGGTGTTAGTGAAGTGTTTTAGATTTGCCGAAATGGATTATAGAGCGTTGCGTTGGAGCCAGCTTAGCTCAGCCGAATGGAAAAGCCTCGTTAAAAAAAAATTTTTATTATTTATAAAATGTCAATTTTATGTCGATTAATTTCAGATAATTTACGTGAAAAAATAAATTTATAGGTAGTTAAAGGATATTCTATAATTAGGAAATAATAATAAAAGAAAATTGTATAATTTCCTACTTTTATAAAAATTAAGATTTGTTGTCAAGGAACAAGTGTAACTTCTTTTAGCATTTTGATCGTTGCAGCATCGACGACAGCAACGTGAAAAATAGCCAGCCTTAAGATTGCGGCTTATTTCCATTTGTCCTTGATTCCACCGCATTTTGCGCCTTTTGCGCAAAGACAACTGCAGTTATTCGTACATTACCGACATTGACTATCTCTAGAACTTCATCGATCTATCCTCGTAGGTCGCGAAACCTAAGATGCGGGTGAATAACGATCGAGAAGGCTCGCGTTCTATGGTATCGATAGAAATCCCTCTCGCACCCTTGAAACTCCCTCAAACGGGTCGGCGAAGTTGTCGGGTCAGCCGGGCGTTAATTATTGACACGGGTTCTCGGTACATAGAGATTCCAGATGGTGGCGGATGCCGGTGCATGTCCGCGGACCGTCCCAGAAACACGGGTCCATAGACGTTGTATACGAAACACAGCGTTGGCCAGGGAGTAAAAGGGTGAACCAAGTGAGGCGAAACGACGTCGGCAGACAGGAGATAGAGGATGTATCAGACTTTCGAGGCTTGGGTCGCTGCCCAATGAGGACGGTCCGGCTGATGCCTTAAGTGCGAATAATTCATCAAAGTCTCATTAGGCTAATGCCTTGAGGCTTGTATCTTGAACGGCATTATCGCGCCGAGGGTGGTGATTGCAGGAGACACAAGCTTCTCAGGGATTCTGATTTTTTTTTTTTTTTTTAATACAAAAAGGACATTCTCAATGGTTACGAAGGAAAAATAACGAAGCAAGTTTTCGCTAAATTCTATTCCTTCCGATTAGAATTTTCTTTCTTAGCGTATTTTACGTATTTTGCACACATTCAGTCTATTTCCAAATAAAAGACGTTAAGTGGCGCAAATCTCGAGGAAATTATTTTTTTTTCACCGTGTTGTTCTTGTCTCTCTGTACCTTGCAACAATATCGCCGAGCTGTCGAGAGACACTGTTTGTTCTAGACTTTAAGGCACCGACATGCAACGTCTTATCTAGTTTCCTGAAACTTTGGCTTATCTCTCACGTGACGTTCATTTTCTCTTATCTCGCGTGGATAGGAGATTGGAAAGGGCTGAGGAACGTGACGTTACAATTCCACGATGCACTTATATTTAATAGAATGTAAAGAGTTTATATTAAAATATAACCAACATTAATATTAGGGAAGGCAAAAGAATATAAAAAAAATTACACGTAACATTTCTTATAAAAAAATTTTTATAGGTATATTATTTTATTTTTACATAAAATACTTCTTTCTTTAATTATTTATCCAATATGGTAGAGATTATAAAACGAACGAATAAAGTATGCATATTGTCCATTATACTGTATTCACGAGTATCCGTCTTCGTGTTTCAGCTGCTGACGGAGCAGAAGAAGCTCGACGACGAGATGCGGCGGCAGCTGAAATTGCAGTCGGAGATACACGCCGATCATCTTCGAGAGGCACTTTCGGTCAAAGAGCAGGAAACGCAGAGGATGCTGCAACGCGCGCTTAGCGAACAAGCCGACACCAGCGCCATAAAGTACAAGACACAGCTTGCAGAGGTAGTTGGAAGGTCACGTGCTGTTACAGCGGCTCTCAAAGGTGAGTACGTATCCCTGTATACATCTTCTTGCTTCGAACCAGGAAGAAATCGTTTCCTCAACGTTTTCTCTTGTGCGAAGAAAGTGCAATCGCGTGATCGCGACTTATATCGACTTATAACGCGTAAAAAAATTCAATACCGATTTAAAATTGTGCGAAATGATTTAAAGTATAATTTATTTTAGTAAGATCAATCTCGCCAATAGTTCTGCGTATAAACTATACCTCGATAAGTCTCGTAAAAATTATCATAGCCGACGTTTAGTAAGTATCCATCATCAGTTTAGTAAGTAATAATGTTTAATGTCTATTGTGTCGTTCAGGGGACAAATCATCTTTCGGGGAGATGTTTTCGCCTTTTTCGTTTTCACTATTGTGCGTCACCGTGTCCGGGCGTTTAATTACACGGGCAAAAAACACGGGCCTGGTCTCTATAAAAGACTTCGCGCGCTCGCGTCTGCGTCGAGAAAGTGTCGGCGGACATTTTGAGACGCTTGTTCTCCTCCACTGTTTGTCTTTTCCCAATCTCTTTGTCCTTTCGACGGTAATGGACCTCTCATGGTCTCGAGTTGGACTGAGTCGGGTCGAGTTTCACCATCGAATGTGTAGCGTTTGCGCGATCAGTATTGTTTGCGACTTGCAATTCCCTGTCTTTCACCGAACCGGACATGTAACTTAGCCACGGATGTTTACAAAGGGGGGAAAGATACGATCCTGTAATTGTTCGCGAATGAAGGGTAATACTTAATAGGGTGGTCTCAAAATCGATGATACCACGTCTGACAAAAAGAAAAGTAATAAGAATATATATAAAAACTTAAAAATTCCAGCGAAAAAGATTTGAAAGAGGAGATCTGCATTTCTTCTAAAATACTGTTGGAAGTTTTCTGAAAATTACTTGTAAAGGCGCCGTTGAAAGTTATGCCGGCGATGTTTACCGAATGTCGAACGTTTGCCGGACGAAGTTTTCGGCGAATGGACGGAGTTTTATTATTTCGCGGTAAACTTTGTAATCCGCGTACAAGACGCACAACACTCTGAGACGCGCCTGGCCGAAGATATCGCAGGATGTATTCGCCCTTTCTAGTTTTACTGGTAGCAGAGGGGCTACCGGAGTTTAATCCGGATTAACCCTGTTCGAGTTTAACACAGCGATGGCACCTCCAACGGTCCCCCTTATCGTCGCTGCCCGTACTCTCCTGTGTCCGACCAGTTGAGATTAATTCTCGATTAACAAATCTCGTATACACGACGTGCACTCATCGCGCAACGCGCCGGCCGATAACTATCTTTAATTAGTTTCCATTCGAGTCATTTTCCGGTCACTGAATGGATTACGAACGCAACACGTTATCGATACGTCGCGCTCGCGCCCTCGATACGACTCGCTTGCGTTACATTATTGAAAATCGTTGCCACTCGTGGAGATGTACTTTTTTTGTCCGTTTTCAATGATCCCTTCTCCCCAAGAAAACCTACGTGTTTACTATCTGAACATTATTATCGATTATTCATAAAGAGTCCGTATTTAATCCCGCACATTTCTCGCCCATAAAGTGGGCGATATTTATTTTATCCCGCGCGTTACGTACATTAATTGTCGCGACACAAAGAGAGAACGAGAGAACGGGGCTTTTAAATGAGGAAGGATTTTTTTTAATAGCATTTATTTCTCGTATTCGACAAACGGCGAGCATCGCATTCGTTCCGCGCGGAACGAATTTCGTTGGAATTCATTGCGGTTTCCGACAAACAGTTTACTCTCCAATGCGAAAATAACGGTAGCTTCCCCGCAAACTATTGTGATATTTTCATTGGACCGTTTCTCATCGAGTTTCTCGATTAAAACGTCCTAATTTCCCGGTGGTCTACCGATGCTTATAATTATTGTCCTAATTGCGAATTGTCTCTCGAAGTAGTGTCACCGAATTTGACCGACCGGGATATTTCTGGCTGGCGAAAGAGAGAGAGAGGGAGAGAGAGCACGGCTGTTCTCGCGGAGACGCTTTTCGCTCGTTAATTAACTTTGCCCAACAAGCGGACGGAAGTGTAGGTGGAGGTTTCCGGGAGGGAGAAGGGCGGAGAAAGAAACGCGTGGAATACGGTGCTCACCGCTGCATAATATCCATTATCCGGCGTGGAGTTCTGCGTTTAATTTGGTGAATTACGTCGTTTTACCGACGCGCTTTGCTACCGGAGACTATATACTCGGAGGCGGGCCGCGCGAGAACAGGAGCTACCAAAAGTTAATAAAATGCAAGTCCCTCGAAAGGTCGTAAGGTAAAGACGAGAATCTCGAGGGAAAAAAAGCGCGAGGTCCCGTGATTTATAAGTCCGCATTGCGAGGGCGCGATGAAAATAAAAGACATTATTGGTCTTTCGTAAGGATCTCGTGAGAAAAAAACGTGGCAAGGACGACGAGAGAGAAAAAAAAGACACAGCTTTTCTCTTTTTTCCTCTTTCACTGATCGCTCCCGCAATGGCGGTGGCACAGGTACGTATTTCATGAATAGAAATTAACAATAAAAAGATGGCATGAAAAGAGATGAGGAGGCGTCGAGGTGTAAACTTCTAGATTTCAACGTGGGCAATGTTGCAACGGGCAATGTTCGGTATCTCGCCGAGACGTAAGAGAGGCGGAAAAAGAGATTCCGTAGCTTTATAAAGTGACGATTTTCGTTCTGCAGGAAGTTTAAGAAATAACAATTTCATCATAAGTAAAATGGTAGCTTATATGTATAATAGATAACTTATTTGCATAGATCTGGATTTTGTCCCGTGTCTACGTTTCCGGCTGCGGCAAATCTTGATCATCTATCTTATGATTATTTGTTTATGCAAAAGTCAAAAGTTTTTTACATATGTAAAAAAATTAGCGAGATGAGCGCATATTTTTTCGAGCAGCCTGTTCTCCGGACGTAAAATTATCGCGAGTAATTAAATAACTTAAATAATTATATAATAAAAGTGCAAATTTAATATAGCTGTGCTTTTTTATCGTAGAATTTAAATACGGGAGAAAGACAGTCACGCAGGGTAGCTGGAAGGGCAATAAAGCTGATGGATGAGGGTAGAAAGCGAGGGAGATCGTAGGTCGCGGTTTTATCAGCTCGACAAACCGACTAACATATGCGACGTATGGCGTGTGTCCCAATTATAACTTCTGCCATACGTCTCTCGCGGGCGCTATTAAGGGTCAGTACACGGCTATACCACGTCGAATGCCGGGTGGCGAGGAGAAAAAGCGCTACAGCCGCGCGGTCGGCTGTTCGCGTATCGAAAAACACGGCTGCATCTCGCACCTCCGTGGGCGTTTATTGTCTTTCGCGCTCGTGACGAGCTCGGCAATGAAGAAGATAATAACGTCGTAATTTACGGTAACGAGCGCGGAGGGAGAATGAAGCGCGAATTGCTCTCGCCCGAAGGGAGAAGTTGCGAGAAGTGCCTAATTTTCAGAATTTCTTTTTCGGATAAGATGCAGGAGGATCTCGCGAATGTGAGAGTGCGGCGTCTAATCTCGTTTGTCGTCGTGACAAAATAGGACTCGCGAAGCGAGTGCCGCGATACGAGGTGCATATTTATACGCTTGGTAGGACTCAACTATAATGCTACGTCGAGCTACTCGACGCGCGCGCGAGACGCCGTCGCTCGCTCGCATCGGACGCGAATCCTTCAGGGAGATGGAGATACCGACGTCGATGCGGTTTATGTTCTTCCTACCTTGGCAAGTTTCCACCCCCGCAAAATACGGGATAGATCATCGCTATCGTCGAATATTTCCGCCGCAATTACGTCGCGTTAAATTCATCCGCGTCGCCGGCTACGGGAGGAGAAGCCTGCGTGTGACGGTTACCATCCCGATCCGCCTCTCATCCGTCCTGAAGACAACTCCTCGGCGAAATCTCGCGAATAACGACGACGACGGATTCGTCCTTTACGATCCAGAGCGCGAGGACATTTTCAAATTCGAGGTATACACTTAACACGATTACGCAAGCTGCATTACGACAAGATTTACAATTCACGCGATGGAATCTCTTCGTGTCCTTTTTCTGTTACGATATCCCTCGCATTAGATTGAACCGACGTTGCAGGAATTAAAATACTGCCTTGAAAAAGAACATCGACTGCTATTATAACATTGAATATATTATGTAATAGCACGTATTTATTTTCCCCTGATGAATAAATTATTTTCGTGCTGCTGAGAAGGAGATAGACGGGAGAACAAAAGAAGCATCGACTTTTCTCATTTAAATCAATTGATTCAAGAGTCGCTCATTATATCGTTTGCGCGGAAAAATTTAAAGGGAGGATAATAAATCTCTTAATTGACTACGAGAATCGTATTCCGTCGGAATTTACGGTGCCATGCTTTTATTGCTGAATCACTCGCGATTGTTTGCGCGGGGAATTAACTCTTTTCGCATGTACCGGTATTTCGGATATAACTTTTCTTCGCGCTTGTAACAGATTCATGTTGTTCATAAATGTGAATTTAAGAATATCGAATTGTGAATATTGTGTCCATATATCGGGCTTCGCGGAGAAACGTGGCTCGCGAATCTGCAAAAAGGTATCCAATATCCGCGACAGTCGACTTTTTTTTATACCGGCGGGGGTTGCGGACGTAGAATCGAACGTTTAATCACAAGCGCACGAGCATTTACGATTTAATATTTTCTCGGTCGCGCGTGAATGGCGCGACGAGAGTTGCAATTCCCTCGTAAATCAGACAGTACGTGCGCTCCTCGGTGTCGAACGTCTCAAAATTAATAGCGTGACAGCTGCGGGAGCGGGACGCAGAAACGTGGAAACGCGTAAAAGTTTGGGACACGACGCAGGGTAGATATGAAAGTGGAATACTGATGGGAACGAACGTGTATATATATACTATATATGTTTAGAAGAAAAAAGTATGTGGATGTGTGACCCAAAAACCGCCGATACATAATTTCGTGAGTCTTTATATATACCTTATATACCTAATATCAAAACTA